CTGCTTGGCCTGTTGTGTTCATCCAGCTCTACACCTGGTTATCTCAGATTCTCCAGCATCTGCAGTTCCTGCTACCCCTTGTCTAGAATGTGTTGGTTTTTGGAGGTTTTGTGACAAATGGTAACAGGTAGCAAGATTCGTGGATGCATTCCTGAAAATTGCAAATTTAACTGAACCATGGTTGTCAATAGATTTTGATTAAGGTTCTTGTGAACATTTGTAGCTCGGTTTGTGGGTCAGGTTGTTGACTTGCTCTCCAGGCTGGCTGGTTATAGTTCAGATGTTTCATCACCATGCTAGGTAACATTGTCAGTGCTGCCTCTGATGAAGCAATGTTGTTCTGCTCCGTTTAGTATTTATATGATCCGGTCTGTTAAGAACACTCGCAGACCAAAGACCCCATACCCATGACATGCAGGGCCAGTGTAGTGTACAAAATACTGTACAAGGACTGCCAAAAACGTTATGTTGGCCAAACAGGAAGGAAACTAGCCATCAGGATGCACGAACATCAGCTAGCAGCAAAACGACACAACGAACTTTCCCTTGTTTCAGTGCCCTAGGACAACGAAGGCCATCAATTTAACTGGGATGACGTGACCATCCTAGCTCAAGCCAACCATAGATACACATGGGAATTCCTAGAGGCCTGGTTCTCCACCCATAATGCAATCAATAAACATGTGGAATTAGACCCCATATACAAACCCTTGAAAAAAAAAAGGAAATGACACAAAGCACCTCAACAGACCAGATCATATAAATATTAAGTGGAGTAGAGCAACATTGCTTCATTGGAGGCCGCACTGATGATGTTACCTAGCATGGTAACGAAACGTCTGAACTATAACCAGCCAGCTTTGTAAGATAGATATTGACATTAAGGCCGTGGTTAAATTTCTGCGGACATTCTTTGCTGCAATATACTGGTTGAAATACGCAATTGTACATACAGTACTATATGTTCCTAGCTGAAGAACACTCGCAAAAAGGTTCACTGCTTTTTGTCATTTGTATAAATAATTTGGATGTGAACATAGGAAGTATTGTTTCTAAGTTTGCAGATGACACTAAAATTGGAGGTGTAGTGGACAGTGAAGAAGGTTACCTCAGTCTACTATGGGACCTTGATCAGATAGGCCAATGGGCTGAGGAGTGGCAGATGGAGTTTAATTTAGATAAATGTGAGGTGTTGCATTTTGGAAAGGCAACTCGGGGCAGGACTTGTACGCTTAATGATAAGGTCCGGTGGAGTGTTGCTGAATAAAGAAACCTTGGAGTGCAGGTTTATAGTGCCTTGACAGTGGAGCCACAGGTACATAAGATAGTGAAGAAGGCGTTTGTTTTGCTTGCCTTTATTGGTCAGTGTATTGAGTACGGGAGTTGGGAGGTCATGCTGTGGCTGTGCAGGACATTGTTTCAGCCACTTTTGGAGCACTGCATGTAATTCAGGTATCCCTGCTACAGGGAGGATGTTGTGAAACAGGAAAAAGATCAGAAAAGATTTACAAGGATGTTGCCAGGGTTGGAGGGTTTGAGCTATAGGGAGGAGCTATTTCACAGGTCTTAGTGAAAATCACCCATCTCAGGTCTCTTAGCGGAAGCCGTGCTGCAGAGATTGGAGCGCACAATCCTTCCTATAATCCGACTGAAACTGTGGGTAAGATACGTGGACGACAAATATGTAATAATCAAATGCACAAAAGTAGAAGAAACCGACCAACTTGTCAACAACTTCTTTGCAAACATAAATTTCACCAGAGTAAGAAAATAACAAACAGCTCCTGTTCTTGGACGTAATGGTAGAGAGACTGACTAATGTCGAATTCTGGACCTGAGTATACAGGAAGGCTACACACGGACCAAATCTGTAACTTCAATAGCAACCACCCCACCATACATAAACAGAGTGGCATCAAGACACTATTTAAACAACCGCATCACTCTGCAATACCCCAGAACTCCGGAGAATGGAAGAGGAACACCTACCCAAAGTTATCAGCGACAATGGATACTCAAGAATTTTCGTCCGCAGATGCCTACAAAACAAACGACAGTCAGAGAACACAATACAACAGAAGACCCAAGCAACACTACCTTACATCAAAAATATATCAGAGATGACTACCAGACTCCTAAGGTTGCAAAAGATCATGATAGCACACAAACCTGCAGCAACACTGCGCCAAATGTTATCAAAGACTAAAGACTGTTACTAACAGTAAACAAGACTAACGTGATGTACAGAGTGCCATGCAGTGAGTGCAGCACACAACATTGGACAAACTGGGAGGAAACTACAGCCAGGATACATGAACACCAACTGGCAGTGAAAAGACACGACCAATATTCACTTGTCTCAATTCACGCAGATAATGAGGGCCATCAGTTTGACTGGGACAAAGTGACCATACTGGGACAAGTGAACACTAGACATGCAAGGGAATTTCTGGAAGCCTGGTTCCCAACACGGGACTCTGTTAACAAACACATAGAAATAGACCCCATGTACAAACTGCTGCTAAAACAACAAAACCGGAAGGGACAAGACCATCTTGCCAGAGGATCTCATAAATCTGGAAGAAAACAGAACACCAATGCTTTGATTAAAGGTCGTACTGATGATGTAGCGTAGAAAGATAACGAAACATCTGCACACCACAGAACAACTGGTTTGGCAAGCTAACGAACAACTGGGGCTGTTTCCCCTGGAGTTTCAGAGGCTATGGGGTGACCTTCTAGAAGTTTATAAAATCATGAGGGGCATGGATAGGGTGAAGAACCAAGGTCTGTTCCCCAGGGTAGGGGAGTCCAAAACCAGAAGGCTTAGGTTTAAGGTGAGAGGGGAACGATATGAAAGGGACCTGAGGGACAACATTTTCATGCAGAGGGTATTACATGTATGGAATGAGCTGCCAGAGGAAATGGTGGAGGCAGGTACGATTACGATATTTATTGGGCATCTGGATGGGTATATGAATGGGAAGGGTTTAGAGGCATATGGGCAAAATGCTGGAAAATGGGACTAGATTTATACACCGTATCTGGTCGGCACTGACATGTTGTTTCCGTGCTTTACATCTCTATGTCTCTATCAATCACTCAATGTAAGAATGAGGTACTTCAAGACCTTATGTCGCAAAAGAGACTTGAAGTTGAAATGGTGTATATGCTTAAATGCCTACATTCATAAATTTAAATAATGTATTAAACAAAATTTTAAAATATAGAAAACATACAATGTAAATGTAGTTGTTCTAAACAAATGTTAGAACTAAATTTGTCTGAATTTTAATTGATCCCGGCCCATCTAGTGACAGAAGCTGGTCACTGCAGGCACAACTGGCAGCCAACAGGAACAGCCAGTGGAGAGTTAAATGAGAAAGATCAAGGGCAGGAAAGGGAATCGTTTGGGATGGGTGGAGCAGGGAGGGGTAAGTGGTGTCAGTGATTAGAAAGCGATGAGGACAGTGACAGGAGCAGAGGAAAAGGACTGTGGGAGCAGAAATATGATGAAGTTTTAAACAGGTCATATAGGATGTATGTAGGACACAACGTTAAACTGAGACTCCTCAATTTTAAATAAATACCTTGCAACTACTTTTATTAGTGACCTTAAAGTGAAACAGGGTAAATGCAGGATTCTCCTAATGACTGGGAAGTTCAGAACCAGGGTTTACAGTCAAAGTTTATGGAGTCGGGCACTTAGAATTGAAATTACAAAAAATCTCTTCACCCAAAGAGTGGTGAGACTGTGGAATTCTCTGCCGAAAGTGGTTGAATGCTTTCAAGAAGGAGATAGATATTGTTATTGGGGTTAAAGGGAATGGGAAGAAAGCAGGAACACGTTACTCAGTTGAAGAATCAGCCTTGATCATCATAAATGGAGGAGCATGCATTGAAGGGTCAAATGGTGAATTCCTGTTTTCTGTGAAATGACGTTACACAGCAAGTCCTTATTCACTTAATGCTTTTTTTTTTAAAAAGTGTCACTGGCTAGGCCATCATTTATTGCCCATCCTTAATTACCCAGAGGGAAGTTTACAGTCAACAGCATTGCTGTGGGATACTGGAGTCACATGTAGGCCAGACCAAGTAAAGATGGCATTTTCCTTCCCTAAAGGATATTGGTGAACTAGATGTGTTTTTCTAACAATCAATAATGGATTCATAGTTGTCATTTAAACACTTAATTCCAGATTTTTATTGAATTCAAAATCCACTGTCTGCCATGGTGGGGTTCGTACCTTAGTACAGAACATTACCTGATATCCTGGATTAACAGTCCAGTGATGATAATACAAAGCCATCACCTTCCCATTTTCTCATCAATTTGCTTTACAGTCAAGAATTTTTGAAATAAAGGAAGTGCAGCAACTGAAATGCAAACAGCAAGAACTCTCAAATGATCATGCAGTAATTACCATATCATCTAATTTTGATCTATTTACAAATGATGGATTAAGTATTGGCTCGGGCTCAGGATAATTCGAGTTCTTGACTTGGATCTTTTACATGTCATCCAAAAGACATTATTTCTGTCAGTACACTGCTCCTTGTGGCGCATTGAAGGAAATGCTTCCTTAAGAAAGGATGTAAATGTGTTGGAAACAATTAAAATAAGGTTTACCATACTAATATCTGGAATGGGCAGGTTGTCTTGTGAGGAAAGCATCCATTAGAGTTTAGAAGACTAAGAGGTGACTTGATTAAAACAAATATGATCCTAAGTGGTATTGACATGCATGTCAAAAAGACATTACCTCTTTCGCCAGATTTAGGAGTAGCACTCAAACTTGAGAAATTGTTTTATCTCGGGTGATTGTGAATCTTTGCTTTCAGTACTTTGAAGAAGTGAGTTCCAGAATCCTTGACTTTTAAGGTTGTGTTAAGTAGATTCTTGAACAAGTTGATGACAGGTTGTTAGCATTAGTGGGAATATGGAGTAATCAGATCAGCCATAATTTTATTGAATGGCAGAGCAGGCTATAGGGGGCAAGTAGTCTAGTCCTCTTAATTTGCCTCTAACTCAGCTCATACCAACATACAAAGTACAGTGTCACTAATATAAAAGTAGGTGGTCTTAGTGATAACGTGTTGGAAGTTCACAAGATTGCAAGCAGCGTTGTTCAGTCTTAGACAATTGACAGCGTGAAGAATTCAGATGGTGGCTCGGGAATGGAGTTGGGAACATGAACTAATGACGATGGTTTCAGTCTACACAATATGATGACACGGATTCTGTTACTGGAGGGACCAGTCATGTTAACCGAAGGAATAAAAACAAAGAACTGTGGATGCTGTAAATCGGGAACAAAAACAGAAATTGCTGGAAAAGCTCAGCAGGTCTGGCAGCATCTATGAAGAGAAAAATCAGAGTTAACATTTCGGGTCTGCGTACCCTTCCTCAGAACAGGTCACCGGACCTGGAACGTTAACCTCTGACTTTTTTTTCACAGATGCTGCCAGACCTGCTGAGCTTTTCCAGCAACTTCTGTTTTTGTTAACTGAAGGAGTGTCTTGTATAGCATTGAAGTTCGTAAGAGTCAGTTCGTAGCAGTCATGACAGGAACCTTAGTGCTAGTCAGTTGTATTTTCCCACTGCTGATAGCTAACTTCTCACAGACTACAGACCTAACCTGAGATTTTTGTGATTTGCAAGTTTGATATTGAGCTGGGTATTGTACTTATCATTTGAGCAAAAAAAAATCCTTTAAATGTCTAGAATTTGTTGACTTAAAGTTTGAATAACTTTTTTTTCTGTGAAATTAATGCTTGATATTTGGAATTTAATCTGAAGCTATTTTGACTGCAGGTGTCATGTACCAGTGGCAGGGCATCCTGTTCTTGGCATTGCAAATGCTGAGGGAAATCTGGAATTGTGTAATCTGACACCATGTGAGGTATGTGGATTCATTTTCATATAGGATTATTAAGGAAACTTCTGAGATGCTAATCACCTGTATATTTATATTCTTGCATATAATGGAATAATATGCATCACACGATGCATTTCAGATAACGCTTTAACTGCATTTAAAATGTGCTAGGATGTGGCATGTGGCCTATATCTCCAAATCACCCCACAATGTATTTTTAATCATGGGGAAAAAGAGGGGGAAGCAGTTATTAGTAATTTGGAATAGAGAAATAGTTAAATAGGCAATTTGTATTGAAATCCTGTTTGGAGTATGGCCATATCAGCAAGTCCTTGTGCGATGCACTTCAAGGCAGTCAGAATCCTGAGTTCTGATGAAAGGTCGTCAGCCTGAAATGTGAACTTGGTCTCTTTCCACAGATACTATCTGACCTCTCCAGCTGGAAGAACAATAAGCTGATCATAATACTGTCTGTAATGCAAGAAATGCTCCAGAATGTTATATTAATTGAAGCTTAATGTTTAAAGTTGTGATTTTGGCTTCTGGCTCTCAAAAAAAGTCTGTGTTTTGTACTATTTTGATCATATGGACATTAGAAAACTTGTTTCCATTATTTTGACCAGTTTGAGGCATATCTTTAACCATACGTTTCAGTTGGGGATTAATCCTTGTGCTCTATGTAGTCATAGAGCATGGAAACAGATCCTTCTGTCTGAATCATCCATGCTGACCAGACATCCCAATCTGACCTTTTCCCATTTGCCAGCATTTGGCCTATACCTGTCTAAACCATTCCTATTCGTTATATCCATCCAGATGCCTTTTAAATGTTGTAATTGTACCCGCCTCCACAACTTCTCTGTCAGCTTGTTCCATACATTCACCCACCCTCTGTATGGAAAAGTTACCCCTCGGTCCTTTTTAAATCTTTAACCTCTCTCCTTAAACCTATGTTCTCTAGTTTTGGACTCCATTACCTTAGGAAAAAGACCTTGACTATTCACTCTATCTATGCCGCTCATGATTGTTTACCTTTTTTAAATAGAAGCATGGAGAGGCAATGGCCTAGTGGCATTGTCGCTGGACTGCTAATCCAGAGACCCAGATAACATTCTGGGGACCCGGGTTCAAATCCCGCCACAGCAGATGGTGGAATTTGAATTCAATAAATATCTGGAATTAAGCGTCTAATGATGACCCATGAATCCATTGTCGATTGTCAGAAAAACCCATCTGGTTCACTAATGTCCTTTAGGGAAGAAAACTGCCATTCTTACCTGGTCTGGCCTACATGTGACTCCAGACTCTCAGCAATGTGGTTGACTCTGAACTGCCCTCTGGGCAATTAGGACAATAAATGCTGCCTAGCCAGCGACGTCCTCATGCTGTTAACGAATAAAAAAAAGTTATAATCTTATTGTTTGCCTGTGTTGAGGGCAAAGATTTTAAATTCACTTGTATAAAAGTATTTATGTAATGATTTGAAATACCAAATGTGTTTTAAAAATGTGATGTTTTGGTGTCACTGTAATGTAGGAAAAATATTTTGTGGAGCTGTTGCTTTACATTGTTCTCACAACCACCACTATTTCTGATAGACTTGCATCTAGAGTCTTACAGCTCAATATGCTTTTGTCTGATAGATATATGGACGCACCAAATGAGAGAAATGTATTTCTGGATGCAACATGCACAAAATTTCCTTGCATGTTCGCTTTTGTGAAGTTCTTGCAAAACCACTAACGTTGATGGCTAAGATTTGAAGTTTAAATGGGTTTATACAATGCTGCTTTAAATAATTACAATTTCAATTAGTCTTAATTAGTCACCCCACTTCTCCATCCTGAAATATGAATGAGTTATGGATATTTGGCAAGGGCAGGAAGGTTGTAAGTAGTTACCATCGAAATCGAAACTTATGAACTTTTATCTCAATCATGAGCTGATGTCTCCAAGGAAAAATGAAAATGACAGCTGGAGTTATAGATGTTAAAACAGAATTTTTGTGGCTCAATATAATATTTTCTTTCAGTAGAAAAACAGCTGCTCCTTGGAGCCAATATGCAGTGTTAGCATAGGCCCAGAATGTCTTGCTCTGTCACTGGATTGGTCAACGGGAAGAGGAGAACAGTAAGTCTTTATTCCTGCCCCTTCCTTTTGTTGAGTTGTCATTTATGGTATTTCATAGAATACTGTTGCACAGAAGGAGCCCATTTGACCCATCAGGTCTGCACGAGGTCTTTATGGAACAATCTTAATTAGTCTTGATTTCATACTCTCCTCCTCCATACCAAACCCTGTATCTGTTGCCTTTTTCAACTAGCCATTTCTTGACTGTCTTGGAGCTTGGAATATGATTAACTAGTTTCGGATCTATCCTATTGTGCAGTGAAATTTAGCTGCTGGGTGGCATGGGGATGTGTGGAAAATACTGGAGGATAGGAAAATGCTGATTTCCTTGGGCATCGCAACAATATGTTGTGTGATTAGTATAGATCCTGGACAGCAGAAACTGTATAACTGCCATTGATAGGTAAATAAAACCTATGGCCAGTTTGGGAAGTAAAATGTGAAAAATTCTTTTCCAAGCTTGTATCCCAATATCCGTTATAACAACTCTGAGAAACTACATTGACCGTAACCTGTAGCTGTCTGTTCTTTGAGCTCTGACCTAAATATAATGAGGTCCAGCATCCTTTAAAAGGTATACATTCACCTCTCAGACCACCAATTTGTTCTATCGGGCCATCTGTTGTCTGGAAAATTATGTCACATAACATTCAACTTAGTTTTACCCTGAGTAACAGTGATAATGTCCCCAGCCTATCTAACAAAAATAATGGGGTGTGACACAGACTATTCCATTCTTTAATTTATAGGAAGGTAAGTAAATGTGCCTCAAGTTTATATTTATCTAAGATATATTGACTCAGCTTTTTAAGTCTAATCATTAAGCTAAGGTAGTGCATTATGTCCCCATTCAGTGCAGAAGTAGTAAAGATTGCTCAACAAGGTAGTGATCTTTGCTCTTTATCTGACTGTATTTGTTGTTAACAAATAACAAAAATCCTACATATCCTATAATTGACATTTTATCACCTTGATTTAATGAGAATTTCACAAAAAAGTTTTATTTTTAAAAAATGTAGAGACTGTGATTAGTTCGCAGTTCCATCGCCTTTACACAAGTTCAGATTAATGTGTTAATATAGCGTAAAATGTCTTTCTCATTGCTGTTACTATGTTTTCTGGTCTTGGAGCTGAATGTTCTTCTATATGTTGTGCAATGTAATAGTATTAATTCAGTTGTATTTTTCCTTCTTGCTAAAGTAAGCCACTGAATATCATCAGCAGTGATTCAAAGGGCTGCCTGAGCCTGCTTTCTGTCGATGGGTGTAGATCAACACTAGATATAGTCTGTCACTGGAAGGCGCATGACTTTGAAGCTTGGATTGCAGCGTTCAACTACTGGAACACAGATTTTGTTTATTCAGGTATTGAGCCTTCCTGAGCAGTTGTTAAAAGGTCAGCCCCAACATACTTTTTCTTATCTGTGCATGAGTTGAATTTAGATTCTACAACATTAGCTGGCTGTTACACAGCTCTTAACTTTGATTTTTGTCCCCTCGAACTCTGAAGATGTTGCATTATTGTGATCCATTCTCTAGTGCCTTACCCCCAAGTGACTATATCCCTCTCATGTAAATCTAGGTAATTCGGACTACTGCATATCGTAAAATATTGAACTGAACAGGAGGAGAACATATCCAGGTCAGGATTTGCCCCCACTGTCTTCAGAATTCCAATATCCTGTTCAAATAGGGCTCAGAAGCCTGTCCTAAGTGGGGAATAGTTGCCTGATTCAACTTTTCCCTGAATTGGCCAATTAGAGGTCGTCCGTTAAAGGGGTGGGCTTGCTGTCCAATTTAGGATGGCAACTGAATTTTTTAAGTTGAAGGATTAAGAGGGGGCTCTTCCAGAACTGAAGCAGCAGCAATCTGCCTTTTCAAGTAAATTAGAAGGAGGGTGCCCCAACAAAGATGTGCTCTGTCCCCAAGTTGTTTAACTTAATTTTTTTTTAAAAAGGCCTCAGCAAGTTGATCTGTGACTGTAGTAGAACATTGGCAAGGAGGAAGGGGCCCTGGGTTTTATTTACTCAAGACAGGCATAAGTGTTTAATTGGCACTTTTTTCCTTGTTTCTTTTGTACTTGACAGTTCGTTGAGTTTGTCAACCTTTGTATAGAATCTGGAGAAGAGATGACTGGGACCCAATGATTTTAATATAGGGCCACCTATATTTGGGTGGCACAGTGGCTCAGTGGTCAGCACTACTACCTCACAGCACCAGCGACCTGGGTTCACTTCCACCCTTGAGTGACTGTCTGTGTGGAATTTGCACATTCTGCCTGTGTTTGTATGGATTTCCTCTGGGTGTTCTGGTTTCCTCCTACAGTCCAAAGATGTGCAGGTTAGGTAGATTGGCCATGCTAAGTTGCCCATATAGTGCCCAGGGATGTATAGCCTGGGTGAATTAGCCATGGGAAATGCAAGGTTACAGGGATAGGATAAGGAATGGATGTAGGTGGGATCCTCTTCAGAGGATCGGTATGGGCTGTTTCCACACTATAGGGATTCTGTGATGTTTACCTAAATTATATTTGTTTAGAAGCCTTGTAATCTCAACTTTCAACATGGTAGGGTCCACAATCAATTTTGTTATTTAGTGCAGTTTTTTTTAAATGAATTCCTCTAGCCTCCAACCTCTTTTTCGGTCCCCCTCATCCTCCCATTTTTCCCTGTAACTTTTGCTGAGATAGTTTTAGATACCTGACCACTGAAGCTTCCGTGCGAGAACACACAGACATTGTATTCATGGAAAGTATTACAGCTAAGTCAGCTCCTGACCTTGTATCTACACTGAATGTGTCAGCAGGGTAGCAGTCCTCCTTGGCTGATTTTTCTTTTCCTTCTTAGACAGAAAAATAGTTTGATTATGGTACGGAAACCAATCAGTTGCATGTTTGATAAGATGTTTAACTCTCAAGTTGATAAAAGAATGATGGCTTCTAAGCTTACTGTCTGCTTTTATTTCCCACTCAAGGAGGAGATGACAGCAAACTCAAAGGTTGGGATATGAGGATGGGGACTGACAGACCAGTTTTCATCAGCAATGGGTACTGTACCTGTTTTTATTTGATTGACCTATGTATTTTGTGTTTAATACATTGGTAATGATGCCAATATGGATTTAACAATCTGAATGGGAATCTTCTAATTTAAGGTTTTATACTTGTGAATCTTTGCTTTAAGGTGATTTGTATCAGGCCTGGACAATGGGAGTACAGTTTGAACTGTATTAAGCATTCCCACAGTTAGTGTCACTTGAGTCATATTTGGAGGAAATCTGTCTTTTGTAGGTAAGTACAGCATGGATCGAGTACTTGGCACAATTCACGTACAGCTCCGTGGTTGATGCTCTGCTGAGGGCCTTCAGCCACAAAAATTAAATTAAGGCTTCTAAAAGCTGGGATAAAAACACTTGAGGAAAGAATTTTATTTATCCCTTCAGGATTAGTTTCCAGGCGTGAAACGGCAATGATTCAAGCTATTGCATTAGCCAATCGCACACTTTAAATTTATAGCAATGAATTGATACACCTGCTAATTCCCTCGTTTTTGTTTTGGCCACTCCCTAGTCATTTTAGCAAGGACTTTAGTTCTTGTAGATTTTCATTTTTATTTTGTGTTCTTTTGTACTGTGAATCAAAGTTCAATTTGTATGAACTGGCCCGAAGCCCATTCAAATATGTTAAGGGGACAGTAAGACCGTAACTCTTATCTTATTTAAAGGCAAGTTTTAAGGTGCTGTATTCCAGATGCAATTCGATTGGCCATGCCACTTGGCATTAAGCAAAACACACTTTATTCTTCTCATTAAAATACAAACAAATTCAAGAAGAATTGGTATAACTTTAACTGCTGAGGAAGGGTTACTTGACCTGAAATATTAACTCTCAGTATCTGTGGAGAGAAATCAGCTTTTCCAGTAATTTCTGTTTTTGTTTCTGATTTACAGTATCTGTTCTTTTGGTTTTAACTTTATTGAAAAACTTAAAAGAATGTTAAGGTCCTGGGGTGTGTTGCCAAACAAAGATTTTGGGGTGCAGGTTCATAGTTCCTTGGAAGTAGAGTTGCAGATAGACAGGCTAGTAAAGAAGGTATTTGGTACAGTTGCCTTTATTGGTCAGTGTATTGAGTATAAGAGTTGGGAGGTCATGTAGCTGTACAGGACATTGGTTAGGCCACTTTTGGAATAGTGCATTCAATTCTAGTTTCCCTGCTACAGAAGAGATTTTGTGAAACTAGAAAGGATTCAGAAAAGATTTACAAGGATGTTCCTAGTGTTGGAGGTTTGAGCTATCGGGAGAGGCTAAATAGGCTGGGGCGTTTCCCTGGAGCATTGGAGGCTGAGGGGTGATCTCATAGAAGCTGATAAAATCACGAGGGGCATGGATAAGGTGAATAGTCACATCTTTTCTCCAGGGTGGGGGAGTCCAAAACTAGACGGCCTAGGTTTAAGGTGAGAGGGAAAAGATTTATAAGGGACCTAAGGGGCAACTTTTCATGCAGACAAAGTTCTTGTTATGGAATGAGCTGCTAGAGGAAGTGATGGAGTCTGGTACAATTACAACATTTAAAAGGCATCTGAACGGACATGAATAGGAAGGGTTTACAGGGATATGGGCCACATGCTAACACACGAGACTAGATTAATTTAGGTTGGCATAGACAAGTTGGACTGAAGGGTCTGGTTCCATGCTGTACATCTATGATTCTAATAATAGATTATTTAATTACTATAAAGCAACTATTCCAGTATAGGGGCATCCCACAAACACACCCTTGGCAAAGGCAAATTCAGCAAAATAGATTCTCGCATGCAATATTTTTCCGGTCTAGGAGAAAAGTGCACCAAGAGAAAATCTTGGCAGGGAGAGGGAACTCCCAGCACTTTGCTGTCGCAAGGAGAGAAATATGGTAGCTTTCACAACCAATTTCAAAACTCCAACAATTACTGTATGGTAAACTAAAACCTTGGTTCTCTGGGAGCTTGACTTCACCCATATATGCTGCTGCTCTTGTTCCAGATTTTTAAAAAATTACCCAAGGCACCTCAAGCTGTTTACTTTACTGGCTTGGAAGAGTTGGTTTGTTACCTATGGCTCAAAACCTCTCCAAAAAAAGGACAAAGTACACCTCTTAAACCCAAAGTATTGTCAAAAATTTCAAACTCCGTGTAGAATAATTTACAAAGGAAGAAGGCAGCTAGTTAAGATTTCTCATTTTCTTCCTGTTTGCTAAAACTGTTGCACTATGTGAATGATTAGAATTCACTGGCAATGACAATGGAATCTTCTCAGTGCATTAGACGTCACAGGAAAACCTGACCTGTTTTCAGTCAACATCTACTTGGTAACGATCAAGAATGGAAACCTGGGCTGGGACTTCTCCACCCCCTAACCCAGTGACATTTGAGTCCAGCTGTACCACTTCTGCCCCACATGCTATTTGAGGTAGCAGGTTTTGCTGAGTCTGCTTTGAACTTAGCAACTACTAGTTTTGATGCAGCCTTTATCAGCTGAAGTTTTAAAGAGATTTGTAAAGGAAATAGAAAAAACTAATTTTCAGCAACTGGTTTTCAGACATTCGATGGGAGTATGCAGCATCCAAAGCAATCCCCACAAAGAACATATCCTGGCTACAGGAAGGTAAGATTTCTGCTCAACTTAATAGAAACATAGCAACTGCTTATTACATGAAGATCCCTTTTTTCTATTACTACGAGGATAACTCAAACTTTGCCCCAGTATGTCTTTGGTACACTAGTAAGGACAATAATTCAAACATTGCCTAATTTCAAAATTTGATCGCTTTACTGATGAATGCAGGCACCTACTATGCATTTTTATATTCAATTTTCTAATGACTGGTCTCCTGCTGTTATGGTTAGATACTGTCACAGTCACCTCCAAGGGCATTGAAGAGTTGAATTTTTAAATGTAAAACTTACAATACAAATTTGTGACAAAACCAGGAATATTGAAAACATTTTATTTTAATTCTAGACCTTACAGTATTTGAATTTGGGTAACTATTGGAGCAAACTAACTTGTTTCTTTGCCAATGATCAGATCAGTTCATTCTGTTGTTTTTCTTTGCAGTTATGATGAACACGTTCTTATCTGGGATTCCCGGCAGATGAAACAGCCTTTGGCAGATACTCCTGTCCATGGAGGTGTCTGGAGAGTGAAGTGGCATCCTACTGAAGAGCATCTATTGCTTGCAGCATGCATGCACAATGGGTACCACATCCTGGATTGTGAAGGAGTACATAATGACTCTTTAGCAGGTGGGAGCTATAAAGCTAAAAGGTGTGTTATAAATATTGACATCCAGCTACTAAAATCAAAGCAGTATTGTACAGCATAGTAGCATTGTGTATCCGTGATAGTTTTCTTGAACAGTATGTAATAGAACCAACGTGGGAGCAAGCTATCCTAGATCTGGTCCTGTGTAATGAGACAGGAATAATTAATGACCTCATAGTTAGGGATCCTCTTGGAAGGAGTGATCACAGTATGGTTGAATTTAGAATACAGATGGAGAGTGTGAAGATAGAATCCAATACCAGAGTCCTGTGCTTGAACAAGGGGAACTACAATAGAATGAGGGAGGACTTGGCTAAAGTAAACTGGAAACAAAGATTTTATGGTGGGACAGTTGACGAGCAGTGGAGGACTTTCAAAGCAATCTTTCAAAGTGCTCAGCAAAAGTATATTCCAATGAAAAGGAAGGACTGTAAGAAAAGGGGTAATCTGCCATGGGTGTCTAAAGAAATAAGGGAGGCTATCAAATTGAAAGAGAAGGCATACAAAGTGGCCAAAAACAGCATGAAACTAGAAGATTGGGAAAACTTTAAAGGTCAACAGAAAGCCACAAAAAGAGCTATAAGGAAAAGTAAGATAGAACATGAGAAAAAACTAGCACAGAATATAAAGACAGATAGGAAAAGTTTCTATAAATATATAAAAGGAAAAAGAGTGGCTAAAGTAAACGTTGGCCCTTTAGAGCATGAGAAGGGGAATTTAGTTATGGGATATGATGAAATGGCCGAGGCATTGAACAGGTATTTTGTATCGGTCTTCACAGTGGAGGACACTAATAACATGCCAGTAATTGACAAAGAGACGAAGGTAGGTGAGGACCTGGAAACAATCATTATTACGGAAGAGGTAGTGTTGGGCAAGCTAATGGAGCTAAGGATTGATGAGTCTCCTGGCCCTGATGGAATGCATCCCAGGGTACTAAAAGAGATGGTGGGAGAAATAGCAGGTGCGCTGGCGGTAATTTTCTAAAATTCGTTGGACTCTGGGGCAGTCCCAGCAGATTGGAAAACAGCAAATGTGACGCCACTGTTTAAAAAGGGAAGTAGACAAAAGATGGGGAATTATAGACCGGTTAGCTTAACCTCTGTAGTGGGGAAGATGCTTGAGTCTATTATCAAGGAAGAAATAGCAAGGCATCTTGATAGAAATTGTCCCGTTGGGCAGATGCAGCATGGGTTCATGAAGGGCAGGTCATTCTTAACAAATCTTTTGGAATTCTATGAAGACATTACAAGCGAGGTGGACAATGGGGACCCAGTGGATGTGGTGTGCCTAGATTTCTAAAAGGCTGTTGACAAGGTGCCGCACAAGAGGCTACTGCATAAGATAAGGATGCATGGCATTAGGGGTAAAGTATTAGCATGGATAGAGGATTGGTTGACTAACAGGAAGCAAAGATTGGGGATAACTGAGTGCTATTCTAGCTGGCAGTCAGTGACTAGTGGTGTGCCTCAGGGATCGGTGTTGGGACCGCAATTATTTACAATTTATATAGATGATTTGGAGTTGGGGACCACGTGTAGGGTGTCAAAGTTTGCAGATGACACTAAGATGAGTGGCAAAGCAAAGTGTGCAGAGGACTGTGAAACTTTGCAGAGGAACATAGATACATTGAGTGAGCGGGCAAAGGTCTGGCAGATGGAATACAATGTAAATAAATGTGAAGTCATACATTTTGGTAGGAGTAATAGTAAAAAGGATTATTACTTGAATGGTAAAAAGTTGCCAGCATGCTGCTATGCAGAGGGACCTGGGTGTCCTTGTGCATGAATCACAGAAGCTAGGTCTGCAGGTACAACAAGTAATTAGGAAGGCAAATGGAATTTTGTCCTTCATTGCTAAAGGGATTGAAATAAAAAGCAGAGAGGTTATGTTGCAGTTGTACAAGGTGCTGGTGAGGCCACACCTGGAGTACTGTGTGCAGTTTTGGTCTCCTTACTTGAGAAAGGATGTATTGGCACTGGAGGGGGTGCAAAGGAGGTTCACTAGGTTGATTCCGGAGTTGAGGGGGTTGGCTTATGAGGAGAGACTGAGTAGATTGGGATTATATTCATTGGAATTCAGAAGATTGATGGGGGGATCTTATAGAAACATATAAAATTATGAAGTGAATAGATAAGAGAGAAGTAGAGAGGATGTTTCCACTGGCAGGTGAAGCTAGGACAAGAGGGCATAGCCTCAAGATTATAGGGAGCAGATTTAGGACTGAATTGAGAAGGAATTTCTTCACCCAGAGGGTTGTTAATCTGTGGAATTCCTTGCCCAGTGAAGTGGTTGACGCTACTTCAGTAAATGTTCTTTTTAAAAAAAAGGTAGATTTTTTTTGAACAATAAAGGAATTAAGGGATACGGTGAGAACGCGGGTAAGTGGATCCGAGTCCACGGAAGGATCAGCCATGATCTTATTGAATGGCGGAGCAGGCTCGAAGGGCCAGACGGCCTACTCCTGCTCCTAGATCTTATGTTCTTAGTGAGCAAGTGAACTGTCTGCTGCAATACTGAACCACACTGGTTCAATTGTTTGTCTATTGGTGAGTTATCTCAGCTGAGATTGTAATTAGAGTAGTATATTTGACCTCCAGTGCCCCTGCGCTAGGTTAGTGAAGAAATCAGCCAGAAGATTTGCCACTCATTGCTAAATAGCATCCATGTTGATGTTAGATGTGGGTAGTATTAATTTCAGCTACGATGCCTGATGTGAGATTGTGATTGAAGAGTACTTGGTCAGGGTGATGGAGAACTGCTGACTCTTTTGGACCTGTACTCAACACAAACTGAACAACTCATTTAATCTTTGTTAGGTGATATAAATTTTCTTTTATTTTAATCTTGACCTGCTTGGAGTTTAATTCTAGAATTTGAGAATCTTCCTTGTCTGTTTGCAAGCTTATGTCAGCACAGCAGCTCTTTGGAAGATGTGGCCTAAAATGGAGACCTGAAGTATAAAAGAATTGGACAATATTTCCTTGCAATTCAAAGATCATTACCCCAGATTTTCTGTGATTTCTAAGTGGGTGTGACAGGATTTACAGCAATTTTCAACTTGACTTGCATTAAGTGAGATGTTTCGAGTACAGGAACAAGGATATCTTGCTGCAATTATACAGGGCATTGGTGAGGCCATGCCCAGAATACTATGTGCAGTTTTGGTGGGGGGAGGGGGTGGTTGGGATCAGGGGAGTGAGCTTAATTCTCAGCCATGATCATATTGAGTGGTAAAACAGGCTTGAGTGACTAAATGGCCTATTCCTCCCTCCTTTCTTCTATGTTTCTATGTGAATATAGAATCTCTACTGTAAGGGTCTATTTCAGGAACTCCTTTTACAGGGAAAATGTTGTAAATGTTATTGTACTGAACACTGAATTGGATAATTTAACATAACAGGCTTATTCTATAAAGTTTTGCAGTTATAGTGTCTCAAAACTTGTCATACTGTGAATTACTTGAGGTGGAGTGACTGTTAAAGCCAAACATGCAACTGTTTAAAAACAAAATACCGTGGATGCTGGAAATCTGAAACAAAATCTGGAGAAACTCAGCAGGTCTGGCAGCATTGTTGGTGAAGAGAGTTAATGTTGCTGGTCCAGAATGACTCATCTTCAGAATTCTGTTTAGCCATTACCTTTATCTAGTTGTGGAATGCATTTTTAGGGATGATGGCTATTTGTATAAAGAAGTGTCAGTTTTTTTTTGGGGAGGTGGGAGCGGGAGTAAAAAAGACTTCTGCTAACTTATGCCTGTGTTCTTGCGCCAGTTTAAATTCTGTAATGTCTGGGAAATCTGTACTTGTATGTTGAGGCTTTATGTTTTAATGTACTTTTGATTAATTGAGAATTTGATGAATCTTCTAATTCTGCTCCTGAGTCCAAATACAACACACATTCTGCACAAATGCAGAAGCTAATATTAATAGGTGACTGCATCACCGATTAAAGGAGGTAGTGAGAATGGAAAAAGTAGCTGCTGAACATCAAAGCAAAAATCTTGACCCCTGCTGTGGTATAATGGAATTTTGCAGTTTCATTAGATACTGTATTTATAGCTGGCAATAGATGCTATCTTTTAGCCAGATTGCAACTGTAGGTATACAAATTATAAAAGTTTAAATAAAATTAATTACTCCTTGTTCACTACTGACACTAGTTAAAATACATGAAGTGAAATTCCCTTCCTAATGGGAATTCTTACACATTGACTGCAATGATTCAAGAACATGACTTGCCACCACTTTCTCTCAAGGGCAGTGAGGGATGATCATGCATGCAATAACTCCCACATTGTGTGAAATTTTTTTTAAAAAGTGTGTACCTCATGAGAAGTTAGTTTCATCCAAATCATGCAGTAAACTAATTGAGTTAATCTGGAAGGCCTTGATGTCAAATAGGGCAAAGATGACGCTAGGGGTCAATGTGCCTTCTAATCCCATTACAGTAATGTAATGTGCAATTCAGCCAGATAGATTCCAGTTTTGTTGATTCTGTACTTATAAACGGACAAGCAGAACCTTTACTTTCAAGGTTTCAATCCTAAGGCCCTGTTTGTATTTTTAGTCTACTCGTAGAATGCCTATTTTCTTAAGCTTGATTTTTCAAAAATTAAATCTGATGTCTTTCCTTCCAGCTGCTCGCAACAAAGAAAACCCTATTCTTTATTCCTACATATTGCACAACTCATTGGCTTATGGGGCAGACTGGTCGAGACTATCACTTCATCCACAGCTCAGCACTGACCATCGACCTATATCATCATCATCAGTTGAAATTCAGAGCAAAAGGGAGCATAAGCAAGGAGTAAAGGAAGCCAAGGTCAAGTTCCAGCACCTGAAGATTCAGTACGAGTCTCCCACTGGCTTATTTGATATGGTTATGGAAGATGAGTTGGATGATTATAGAGATGAGTTGCCTGACGGTTTGCAGGCCAGTGATACATCTCTCAAACTGAATATGGACCCTGTGGTGAAACAGCACAATCCTGACTCTGGTGTAATTTGGACTAAAAGTAAAGCCAACCTTTTGGCTACATGTTCTTTCTATGACCATGTCTTGCATGTTTGGAGATGGGAAAGAAATAATATTGTCATCTAGTTGACTTTATGAAAAATTCATTGTTAAAGTATTAAACTTGCAAAACTGTTACTGGAAAAGGAGCAGAGAATGACATGTCTTGCTGGTTTTGATGTATTACAGCAATATTACAAAATTGGGCACTGTGTGACAAAGATGGAGTAATGTTCCAATATAGGTGTGGCAGGTTTACACTGGCATTTCCTGACTTCTTCACCTGAGTCCAGCAGGAGAATAATCTAAATATACCATTAATTAGCCATTGTTATATGAGAAATTTAATACTCGATGGTATGTAAATAATTCAGAAAGGAGACATGAATTGTAAACCTGCAACCTCTTCATAGTCTTTTTGGTGGCACAGAGCATACCAAGAGAGGTTAAAACAAATTAAATGAGTGACTTCTGGAAGACGTCCAAATCTCGAGGATTTCTGTGTTTTTATTTTGATTTTTTTAAAAAATGAAATTCTCTAGGTTTTTTGGTGTCATACCTCCGTAGTATCTCGGGCAATAATACACCAAGTTGGTGCAAATAAACTTGTCTTGGACTGTGATGTGTGGCTGGTAAAACATCATGTAAACTGGAATAATTTTTATGGCGATATGAGAACCTATGCAATCGATCCTTGTAACAAACCTTAACCCTTTAGTCCTGTGGGCTTTGCTCAGTGAAATCTCAAACCTCATCAAGTTCTTATTGAAGGCTGCTTTGGGATTTCCTGCAAGTCTATGATAGTCGGTTCTGACTAAATTGATTTTACTGAAGTGTTTTGTCAAAAACTATTTTTGTCTCCATCTTTCTACGACTGCCTTCATTGATGTATAAATTAGTTTGTAAATGTATACAAACTTAGAGCTCCAGAATGTAATTAAAATTTACATATTTAATTGATTATGCCTGAACAGTTTCTCTTGATGCTTGATTTTTATATTTTTATTCTTGAAGACTTTAGTTTCTTTTGAATTAATCATCAATCACTGAATACTGATCTTGGTATTATACACATTCAAGTATTTTTCTAAGGAGATCTTGCAATGATGTCTTTGCTGTTTTGTCTGTTTCCTGTCCTTCATTCCCAGCCCTAGTGGAACATCTGAGAAAGACCAACATTTCAACAACATCTACTGAGGAATAGTGGAAGGGATCAAGGTAGCTGTAGCTGATTTTTCCCAAGGGGCTGACCTAAAAATGTAGCTAGATTTATTAATTTTTTTTGTACATTTGTAAACATTCAAATTTACTAATGGAATTGTCAAAGTTTACCTAATGTGCACACTAAAGGTGTTTAGTAGGTCTGAGAACATCTATGGAGAAAGAAGTAAAGTTTTCAGGCTATCCCCCAACATCACCACCAAAAGGTTCACACTGTGGGTGTGTAAAATTCTGCACATGCATACTTGTGAAACACCCACCAGTTTAAAAAAAAAAAATGCTGTCCAAATGAGCAAAATAAATGAGTGAACTGGAAAGCAGTGTAACAAGTGATTGACTGACTTGTACTATCCATATAACATGCTATCTTCACTATTCATTATGCTGTCTCCTCTACTTCAATTGGGTGACAATTTTGTGGAACACCAGTCTGCAATCTCGAAGTGTGAACTTGAGTTTCTGAATGTTTTGCTAAGCAGCAACAAGCCAGGAGTCCCTTCAGGAAGAAATGAGGCAGCAGGGCAAGTGTTGTGCCTTGTGCTTTAAGGAAACTGGGGAGGGTGAGGGGGTGGAAATTGGGTCGGTAGGTAAGTGAGGTGGGATATCGTAGGGGAGAATGCTGCTTACAAAATGACTGAATTTTCAGCCCATTCTACCCTTTTGTTCTCAACCTCTTAACTTGAGCTATGTTGATCTCATACGTTCCAGTAACAGTCGTTTCATTTTCAGTAAGGAACTTTGCAGCCTTCTGAATACGACAGGAGTACAACAATTTCAGTTTCTAGTTGTGGACTGAATCTTTTGGATTGGTGCTGTTGCTGATGATTGGATTGTTCCGTTTACACTTGCCATCAGCCCATTTCTAAATGTCCACTTTGCCACCCCTTTTTGGTTTGCACTGTCATATCTTTTTTTTAAAAACTTGGTATCTTCTGCCTTACACCTCAACAAACAAAACTTCCCTTCTTTTGAAATGAGGCCTACATGAGCTTTATTCATTGTTTACTGACTACATTGTGGAGCTGTCCTGTCATGACAGGAAACTATATAACCATGAGGGAATGGGTTATGCAGACAGAGTTACATGAAAAGATATAAACAGATTCAAATGAAAAATAATAAGTGTGGGTAAAATGGGCTGAATGATCAATTTCCGTGCTGTAAAATATATACAAAAATGACTTGCATTTATTGAAATCCTTTCAATCTCAGGATCATGGCTGTTAAAGTACTTTGTGTAGCCACTGGTTGTCACTTCCGTTAATACTGTGGGAGCTTGCTGTGCACACAAATAGCAAGGTGATAATCACTGTCGTGATAAACTGACAAAGGAATAAACATCAGGAACAGGCCCTTGTGTTGCCATGGATTTTTTAAATACCTGAAAGCAGACAGGGGCCTCTGGTCTCTTCCGGTTCATCGCACCTCTGCTGTGGAGTACTGTGTTAATCTAGCGTTTAAATATGTTTAGGATTTGAACCCACAATTTTCTGACTTGATGAGAATATTGCAAGCTCACCATTATGCAATTCTGTTGGCAGTTGTTTGTAAATATACAATGTTTCTATTTATCAATTCCCCTGAAAATTTGGCTGTTATCATCCAATGTATTTAATAGGCATAGAATGAAATGGCTTCATGACCGCTATGGTATCAACTAATGAAGTCTTCAGTTGAACTAAATCATCCCTAGCGGGGGTTTCAATCAACTTTTTGATACTTGATTGCATTTTATAATTTCAGTAACAAATTAGTGAACCTGCACAGAGTCTAATAGCAATAATGGACAGATAATTTAATTGTTTTTGAAAGGGAAGGGACTAAATGTTTTGAAAATACAATTCAGCCAGAGAAGTAAGCAAGCTGAGGCAAAGTGGGATAGATAAAATGCAATAAAGGATTGCAGCGCAACACTGGTTTGTTGCTTAAAAATTGGACTACAAAGGTCACCCGTTTATAGGAAAGATGTTATTAAGCTGGACAGGGTTCAGCTGAGATTTACCAGGATGTTGCCAGATATGGAAGGTTGAGTTATACGGAAAGGCGGGGAGTTGTTTCACTGGAGCATAGTAGGTTGAGCGGTGACCTTATTGAAGTTTATAAAATCATGAAGGGTATAGGTAGGGTTAATGGCAGTTGTCTTTTTCCCTCGGGAGATTTCAAGACTAGGGGACACATTTTTAAGGTGAGAGGAGAGAGCTTTTTAAAAAAAAAAAGACATGGGGGCAAACCACAGGGTGGTTTGTGTATGGAATGAACTTCTAAGGAAGTGGTGGATGTTGTTCCGTTGCAATGTTTAAAAGATATTTGGACAAGTACATGAATAGGAAAGGTGGGATTAGTTTAGTTTGGGAACATTTTTGGCATAGACTGGTTGGACAAAGGGTCTGTTTCTTTGCTGTATGACTGTAACAAATATGTTCCATTAAAAATGTAAAAGCCTTGTTTTTTTTTTAATTATCCATTGCTCAGTAAAACTAAGTTAGAAACCATCTAAATACCGAGCTAAATAGAGAATAGAAGGATCCAGTGCAGATTTCAAAAGGACAATTGTCTCCAACATTCATAGAAATTGCAGAAGTTATAGTGTGGTGCACATGGAATTTCAGAAACCCTTTGACAAGGTACCCCATGGAAGATTACTAGCTAATATTAGTAAGTGTCGAATTGGATTTTAAAGCAAACTAGATTTAAAGGAATAAAAACTGGATTCATCATTTAAAAGGGAGAGAAACAGCTGGTGTTGAGAGCAGTTGTACAGGCCTGAAGTGGGCTACAGTGTCCTGCAAAATTCAGCTTCTAATTGCTTCTGTTTACTGAATCAATTACTTGAGTAAAAATCAAAAGTGAGCACTTGACATTTAATACAAGACTAAATGGAAGATAATTTAGAATAAAGAGCTAGATTACTGTTTTCCTGAGAATTTTGAGCTTGTGGAATTCAGTATTTGAGATAAAAAATTATGAATAGTCAAAAATAGTTTAGAAAGGCAGTGACAGTTAGAGATTATGGGACGACGCAGGGTGAGTAAATGTACGTGGAATTATTTGTGCACATTAAGAGTAAACATTCACTTTTTGGCCGAATAGCTTTTTACTATCTTGAAACTCATCTATTTTTAGGTAATTCTAACAGTTATTGGAAGTGCAGTACTATCTATCCCAAGAAATTCTGTTGTACATGGAAAAGGACACTGATCTTGCTAAAGCCAGAAACTGACATCTTTAAAGTGGGATCATTCAAACCTTTAACTACACAGCAGTTTTTGAACAGTTTTAAGATGTAACATCCCATAAGAATGGGGACAGAATATTCCCATAAGGAACACAATTGTTTCATAATGCCATGACATGCAGTAAGAGTGATCAAACTCTTAAGGATTTACTCAAGACCTCTGGATCTGGGCATAGAATCAGAGGTTATCAGCTAATCCAACTACAGCTAAACTAACTGAGGGTTGTGACAATCGGCCCCATATGAGCTTGTCACTATAACACGGATACATCATTATCGCTTATTTAATAACATAGAAATAAGCAAACCACAAAGACCAAGATCTATCAAACTCACCAGCATCTTTGTGGAAGTCAACAATAATGGATTGTTAACTAATCACAGCAAACAATCTCACCATCAACTAGATTTTAATAGAAGCTGACATGATGCAAGGAAAACCTCAATAGTGGAGAGCAATGGGAACCAATAGCCCAAAGTCTCCTACTCCTGTGCACGTTACACTTAACGGATTTCATAGAATCCCTACAGTGTGGAAGCAGGCCATTTGGTCTATCAAGTCCACACTGATTCTCCTAAAGAATATCCCATCCAGGTCCACCCCCCCCCAATCCTATCTCTGTAACCCTGCGTTTCCCGTGGCTTAACGTACACATCCTTGGACACTGGGGCAATTTAGCATAGCCAATCCATCTAACCTGCAAATTTTTGAACTGTCGGAAGAAACCCACGTAGACATGGGGAGAATGTGCAAACTCTGCACAGACAGTTACCTATGGATGAAGTCGAATCTGGGGCCCTGGTGCTGTGAGGCAGCAGTACTAACCACTGAGCCACTGTACCGCCCCAAATGTCATTTAGTACAAGTACCAATATTTTGGAAAAAGCTATTTAACTTAATTGTGTAATATTACACAAAATTAATTTTGTGCAATAATCTTAGTTCTCCACTTTAAATCATTACCAAAGAGGGAAGCATTTGGTTGGAACAGACTATACTGCTGATACCATGTGCTGGAAAATCGAGGACCATATATAATGATTTAAACAAATGAAGCACCATGGGAAGATTCAGGAGAGGGTAAACATAAAAGCAACAAGAAAAATGTGGAGCAAAATAAAACCTGGGTGAAAATATGCAAAATTGGTCAGGAACATAGTGCATTAGTAACTGAGATTACAGCAGTGAAAAACAGAAAAAAATGTTAAAGCTAAATGCATTATATCTGAGCGCACACAAATTTCACAACAGAAAACTTGATTTAGCAGCACCAATACAAACAAAGGGATTGAGTGATTAGTTATAATGGATTTGTTTTGCGGCATGATGAAGGTCAAAGACTAAATATTCAAGGATATTAACTTCTAGAAGATGGGCAAAATGGAAAAGTTGATGGAAGAGTCAGGTAACCTTAATAATAAAGGATAGAACAAAGACTATCAAAGGATCTTAGTTCAGGGAAACAAAATGTAGGATCATAATTGTTCATAATTGGATCATAGTT